ATCAATCCATCGATCGATCAATCAATCAATCGATCTATTGATCAATCAATCAATCAATCAATCCACTCCATCAATCAATCAACCAATCAACCAATGAATCAGTCAATCGTTTGAGGATCCATCCATCCATCGATCAAATCGAGTAATCAACTCATCAAACCCACATACTCAATCAACCCGTACGAGTCTACAAATCATCGATCAATCAACGAATTAAACTATAATATACAAACTGATCCAGTCGATCAATCTATCATCCTCGATTACATTGCTCCATCAAGTAGTCCACCACGGAACCCCATCAAAAAGCCAACTACTAACGACGCCGCCGGGCAATCATCTAGCCAATCCATCATCTCAATCAATGAACCCATTGACATACTCACCCAGTATACCACTCCAGCGCAGCGGAGGGGAATGTGAATGAGATTTGACCGTCTGAAGCACGTAGACATTCGATTAAATACGTGCCGGATCACCCTTCCCCTTCCACGCCCCCCCTCGCGCCAGCCCCCCCTCCCCCCCCCCCCCCCCCCCCCCCCCCCCCCCCCCCCCCCCCCCCCCCCCCCCCCCCCCCCCGCCGCCAGGCCCCTCGTCAGCGCCCATCTCTCCAAGCCCCGCCCCACGTATTCACCTCCTGAACTACTTCGAGAAGAACTGCACGCAACCTAACTGAGCGAGACACACACAAACACACACACACACACACACACACACAGAGAGAAGGATGTACGATAATAATCGACCGAAAGAAAGAGGAGATGCCGATGCTACTGTAGTATCAGTTCACTAAGGAGACGGACAGATATGTACATGTATATATTTATATGGATATATGTATATGTATATATTGGTTCAATTTTGAGTGTGTTGACCGGTACGCTATACACAAGTCCACCAAAAAAAGCATGACTGTGCCAGATCGTGTAGTCGGACTTTCCTTCACCGACTCATAAGGAGATAGTGTGTGTGTGTGTGTGTGTGTGTGTGTGAGAGAGAGAGAGAGAGAGGACACAACGTTGAAAACCGGGGACGGCGGGAGGGGGAGGGGGAGGGAGAAGGAGCATCTAGAGTTTGGGGGATGGAATGGAGGAGGGTGACACAGAGAATCGGGGGCACAAAAAAAAAGAGAATAATTTAAAAGTGAATGGTGACTTTAAAAAAAAAAAATACGAACTAATCTCCCAGCAGAAGCAGAGTGGATTCTACATCAAAATAATCATGTATATAATTTATTCCAACGACAACAAAAACAAAAGCCATCCATCCTTCGAGGAGTTGAAAAAAAAAAAAAAAAAAAAAAACAGATCCAAAACCTCTCCCCTTTCTAATCCAGCTCCCATGCTGCCATGCACGGCCAAACATTGATCTCATTTTTTTGTTTCTTATTTTATTTATTACGAAAAAAAAAAAAAAGTTTTAATTAGACCTCCGCATCCGGGGTAGATTCTGCTGTTGCTGCGGATGATGACGCTGCTGGTCGCGATCCCGACTGCGCTGCGCCGCCTCTCTCCCCCCGGGCAACCAATTATACTGCTGCTCAGCTGTCTCTCTCGCCGCCCGCAAATTTCGGACGTTGTCGTATTCGAATTTAAGAAGGTTGGGCACGTGGGTGCAATCTTTGACGTACAAGTATTTGCATATGCTCAAGTTTTCTATTTTAGGAAAGAGTGGAATGATGATCCATCCCGATAGCTTGTACCAGAAGAGGGCCGCCGCCCCCCCAACTACCCCTCCAGCCAAAACCTGATCTACAGAATGATACCCTAAATAGGACCTAGACCACATGGTCAATAACCCGATTGGCCAAATTAGGAAAGGGGATAACAACCTTATCCGTTCATCTGCAAACTGAAATCTATAAAGCACACTTAACGACATATAAACGCAAAAAAATCCCATCCATTGAGCATGATTAGATGGCCAGCCATACGATTGGCAAGCGTGTACGGCCGCGCAAGAACGGGGGCGCGGAACCCTAAATGACCCCTTTAAAATGGCATTTAACCCCTCGTTGAAAGCCATGCCAGCCATCAGATTAACCGTTTGAAGATCTCGACGGAAAATCAAAAGCGCGGGAAAAGCACCCAACATCACCAGTACGGGGAGAAGAGAGGTCCACGCCAGCAATTCTCCCAATCTGTCTCCTTCTTCGTATCTGACATGAGACAGACCAATCGGCTTCGTCATCGTGGCTATGGTGGAATTGCTGCTCTTCCTTCTTCCTTCTTCTTCCTTCCTTCTTCCTCCGTACTACTTCCTTCTTCTTGCTTGGCTATCGCAGTCCGAGATCGATGTAACCCAGCTATGGTGATGAAAGGATTGCGCTATCTTCTTCCTTCATCATGGTAGCTATGGTGGGATTGCTGCTCTTCCTTCTTCCTTCTTCCTTCTTCTTCCTTCCTTCTTCCTCCGTAGTACTTCCTTCTTCTAGCTTGGCTATGGCGGCAGAGATCGATGTAACCCAGCTATGGTGATGAAGGGATTGCGCTATCTTCCTCCTTCATCATGGTAGCTATGGTGGGATTGCTGCTCTTTCTTCTTCCTTCTTCCTTCGTTTAGCTTGGCTATGGCGGCCGAGATCGATGCAAGCCAGATATGGTGGTGAAGGGATTGCGCTATCTTCTTCCTCCGTACTTCTTCCGTCTTTGAGTTTGGCTAGGGCGGTCAAGATTGATGTAACCCAGCTATGGTGGTGAAGAGATTGCGTTCTCCTTCCTTCGTCATAGTAGCTATGGTGGATCGCTGTTCTTTCTTCTTCCTTCGTCCTTCTTTTCGCTTGGCTATGGCGGTCGAAATTCATGCAAGCACCAATTATGGTGGTGCGGGGACTGCGCTTTCTTCTTCCTTTGTCACGGTAGCTATGGAGGGCTGCTGCTCTTTGCCCTTCCCCATGCCGCGGCCATGGTATGGGAATGTTTTCCCTTCCTTCTTCTACCCTTTCTGTTGCGCACTGCTCTTTCGTCTTCCTCCCATCATGGCTATGGTTAATCGCTCTTCATGTTTCCTCCTCATTGGCCGCCGTGCTAGACCGCACCTTCTTCTTCTTCTTCTTCTGCTGCTGCTGTTGCTGCTGCTGCTGCTCCTGCTGCTTCTGCTGCTGCTTCTGCTTCTTCTTCCTACCGTTGCTATGGCGGCAAGCTCGATGCACCCAAGCTATGGACGCTCGAAGAGGAACAACAGAGGCGGTGGCGGTGTCGTACACGATCCGCACAGCATGATGCTTGGCAAGCACGCCGCCAGCGAAGCTTCGTCTCGACCGCCGAGAACAAAGCTACCTGGAACGTACCCTGAGTCGATACCCAGCCTTCACCCGGGGCTAGGCCCCACTTGCACGAATTAAGAGATGTTGACCGTAGATAACAAAGATCAACGGCCGAAATCTCCTAATTTGCGCAAGTGGGACCTTGCCCCCGAACCTCGGTGCATGGCAATCTGATCTCACCCTCCTCCTCCAGAGAGATTCAAAGAAGAATAATGTAATGAGTAAAAAATAATTAATTAATAAAAACAAATCCTCCACTGTCCACCAGGGTGCGCGCAAAACAGTGCTGTGCTCAGATACCCACCCGCTAGGACCTACGGTAGTCGCACTACGGTAGCAGCGTTGTCGTCAGCGCTCGAGTCTGGACGTGGTTGTGGAGATGTGCAGAAAATGGCGTTGAATTTTTCCTCAACAGCACATCTCCACAAACACATCCAGATTCGGACGTTAAGGAAACTCGCCTCAACGCTGCTATCCTTTCTCGCCCGAATAAAACGCCCGGTCGTTAACGCCGCATCTGGTCTGAAACTTCATCCCAATACAGAGGTGTAACGACCGGGCGTTCTATTCCGGCCGCATCTGGTCCGAAACTTCATCCCAATACAGAGCTGTAAAGACGGGGCGTTCTATTCCGGTGCTGACGGGTACTTCGCGGCCCGTCAGGGTTGCGTTTTATGCCTTTGGGCCTCTTTCTACACCACTTGAAAATACTTGAGTTTCTAGGGCACCCTAACTCACGGAAGGTGATTAATTTCCCCTAACTTGTTTTTCCTTTTTCGTTCCACAACCCCTTGACGAAACCCTTGAGACGGCCGTCCATGAAACTGAAGTGCTGACCGCATTGCACCACGAACAGTGGTGATTGGTGGGAAAAAAAAAGAAAAAAAGAAAAAGGTCCGTATATTACCCGTTTTGAAGGGTGAAACCCTTGCGCCCCACGTGACCTCCCCAAGGCACCCTTGGGGTTTTCGTCTATTTGCCTGGGCGGCAGTTCCGTTTCAAGGGCGGACACTTGGCCGCGGGGATGTGGAAACAATTAGCGACTTCAAGGGTGCATGATTAGGGCGGGGTCGAACGACGCTTCCTTGAAAAACAGCAATTTCCAAGTGGTGTCGAACGAGGCACTTTGAGACCTTCAAGGTCAATTCAACTTTCAATCGGTTGTCGGTCAGGAGGGTGGGCAATTTTGAGGTGAGGGCTTAGCAAGGGGCAGGGCATGTGAAGGACCCGAAGGACCCGTAGGTGGCCGTAGGAGGCCGAGGCGGCCACTGTCCTTGAGTTGGACATTTCAAAACTGAAACACCATGGGAGACGACGAGGCTGCAGTCCTTGAGTTGGACATTTTGAAATAGGCCGCGGTCCTTGAGTTTGAACATTTTGAAATCACAACGGTGTGTGTCCAGTTTTCTCGAATAGAACAGCACTTCGAATAGAAAACGTATGCTGTGTTTGAATACAACTTGTACCCTTTCTATTCAAATTTTGAAAATATATATTTTTTTTAATTCCACTACGTTGCACGGCGTACCTGTACGCGGGGTCGGCGTACCTGTACGCGGGGTCGGCGTACGTACACGCGTACAGTGTGCATACACGTCCGCGCGTACTTAAAAAACAGGCCTGCGTACATGTATTCGTATGGGCCATTTTGGGTCGGGTGTCGGGTACTAGGGGGGGAGGGGGGGTGTCTTTGGGGGGGGCAGCAGGCTATTGGGGGGGGGTGGGAAATCATCACTCGTTCGATTTCGAATGGGCCCCGGTTTCCCGCCCACCCCTACTCCACCATCCCCCCGCCTCAGCTCGCCACTGGAGTCATCGCCTTCGTTGTCGTCGACCCCACGGTCACCATCTTCGCCATCGTCGCCATCATGCCCATCATCGACGAGCAAGTCCCCATTGCCAGCATCATCAGCATCGCCCAAGCCATCACGAACGTCATCGCCCGTTAGCCGCTCCCACGCCATCGCTTCGTCATCGTCGCCCTTGTCGGAGGAGAGATAGATAGATAGATAGATAGATAGATAGATAGATAGATAGATAGATAGATAGAGAGAGAGAGAGAGAGAGAGAGAGAGAGAGAGAGAGAGAGAGAGAGAGAGAGAGAGAGAGAGAGAACTGCCACGCCATGAAAATAGGCGTGTCACCAGCACCTGCCACACCATCACTCCCTGTCAACGTCCTTTTCCTCCTCGTACTTTTCCTTCTCCTCGTCCTCCTTCTCCTCCTCATCTTCATGCACAACTGCCCAGGAACGATGGTCAATGCACACCATGCACATATATTTATTTAAAAAAAAAAAATACGCGTATTACCTTTTCCTTTTTTTTTTTGAGGCCAGCGCTTGCCCTTGTGCTCCCCGCCACTGACATGCTGCATGTTGCATGCTGCAAGTCTCTCTCTCTCTCTCTCACACACACACACACACACACACACACACACACACACACATTCTCCTGTCAATTGGTGGGGAGCGGCACCTGTTGGAAACTGGGTTCATCATCCCATATACATCATGAATAAAGCACCAGTCGGGACCCCACACTCACACACTCTTCAATTTGTTATAGCAAACGTCAACAAACTTACACACAACATAATCACTACCTTACCCTTCCCCAACCACATCAACAAACAAACTACGGGTTGTGCACCAGTGCCCTCCCGGTAAGTCAATGGGACATGGGCCCAAAATGGCGGCCCAGATAAGACTCCATCTTCGAGTCTCCCCGAGACTTCGGGCATACTCACAATACCCATCTTCACCCGAATAGAACTCTCAGTCATTACAACTGTATTTTGGGCAACTTTCAGTCCAGATACATGAATAATGACTGGTGTTTTATTCAGGTGAAGACCGATAGGACTTTTTCACTTCTCTGTGGAAGTAATTGTAGCTGGGGGCATCAAGGTCGGGTCAGGAAAGAGAACATAGACATCCGGGCAAGTCCTGCCTTCTTTCCCCGAATACAATGTACCTACCCATCCAACGTTTTTTTCCCCAGTTGGACCGCAGGGCGACGACCGTAAGAGGAGGGTTTGGAAATCACTACCTTTCCCTTCCCCAACCACATCAATAGACAAACTACCGTCTTCGCCGAATATGATGCACCCTTATAATGAATGTATACAAGCTATATTTCCGGCCAGGTACAACCAAAATAAGGGTGCGTTGTGTTTGGGGGAAGACGGTTGCGCACCTTTGCCCCCACGGTACGTCATATCAAGCTCTCCCCTTTTCTTGCTCCAAAAGCAGATAAAAACATCAGTCACACCCCGAAAATTTAACGGCATTCCGGTCGTGCCCCCAAGAAAGAGCGACTCTCAATTGTGCCATTCGGACTAACCAACTTATCAAGATACCCAGGTTTCGTTACTGTACAATTTCAAATGTACCCAATTATAACCCTACGTCCACAGCTCCAAGGCCTTGGATATAACCGAAAGTTGCCCCAACTCCTTGGACAGGACGGAAAGGGGAGCCATGTTTGGGAGCCAAGGCCAAAACATTGTTTATTCAACTTTATTGTCTACCGCGTGGGCACGGGGAACGCAACCCTCAGGTAGACAAAGCAATCAGACTAAGTGTGCATATGCACGTGGCGCGCGCGCGCGCGCGCGCGAGAGAGAGAGAGAGAGAGAGAGAGAGAGAGAGAGAGTGAATGACAAAATTGGAATATGGTCAAATTGCGGCCGCGATCTATTTTGCAGTTGAAATTATTTCGTTTTTTTTAAATATTTCTCCTAGAAAAATCATAAAAAAATCTACGAGCGCAGCTACAATTTTCAGGTTTTTTCACGCATTCTTCTGAGTGCGAAAAATCAGTACAAATGGAGTACTTTTTTCAGTTCGCCCACTTATGGTTGAGTGGCAAAAATAAAATATGGGTCAATTCGGCGCAACAATTCTTTCACGTTCTTAATGATTTTTTGAAATTTTTCTTATATTTTTCCAGAAAGACCACAACCTAATCTCGCATATTCTCGCATTTTCATATTTTTTTGTGAATTCCTCTGAGCACAAAAAATCACCAAAGGTGTCTCTTCCGAAATGCCTATTTCGTTGCGCCTTCCTGTGTCTTCTCATCATTGACCTCCCTGTTTTGAGAAGACCGGCTTTATGTTTGGGCCCGAGCTCCCATTTGTAGTTCACATGCAAGAGAGGACCAATCCTCCAATTTTGCTACCCCGCCAGTTCTACCCGCGATAGTTGTAGGTAGTACGTAAGAACTCGGTGGACAGCGGTCCCCCAACAACTTTCACCACCTTTTGAACCCACTCGCGCGCCGGTTCCCCGCCGCTAAAATTATGCAACCTTGACACGGACGTCAAAACCTGCTACACCGCAGCCTCAGGGCTGCGAACTGTTGGATATTCCTCAATAACGGATGCTCACCATAACCGTAACTATGGGTATCACCCCTCATCTCTTCTCCCACCACTCCCTTCCTACCCTCCTCTCCCACACCCTCGAAGGGATTACATTTCTGTGTTTTTCGCACACAGGGAGAGAGAGAGAGAGAGAGAGAGAGAGAGAGAGAGAGAGAGAGAGAAATATCTGGACGCTTGTTTTTTCTCCGTGGTGGGAGGGCAACAAAATGAGGGTGTGTGGGGCCTAGGAGTGGCATTCTCACTCATTGGAACTTAAATTTCCACTACACAGACCCCGACTTGGAAACCACTGTCGGTGTTGGTTATATCTGAGGGGGTTGGTCCTCTTCGAGGCGTTGTTTTCCTCGTAAGCGAAATTGGGCATTGCACCCAACCGTTCCATATCCGGGTAGACTATGAGGACTCCGAGCTCTTTCTTTGATTAAAAACATATAGTCTTTTCGTGGAAAAGAAAAAAGGAGAGAGAGAGAGAGAGAGAGAGAGAGAGAGAGAGAGAGAGAGAGAGACGCTGAATGGCAAAATTAGAAATTGGTAAAATTGCCACCGTGATTTGTTTTGTGGTTAAAATAATTTTTTATATTTTATGTAATATTTTTCCTAGGAAGATCACAATAAAATCTGCAAATACTTTGAGAGTTTTTCACGCATTCTTTTGAGTGTAAAAAATCATTGGACTTTGCGCACTTTCTCTGTTGGCCCATACATGGCTGAGTGGCAAAAGTGAAAAATGCATCGAATCGGTGCAGCGATTATTTTTTGTCTTATTATTAATATTTTTTATTTTTTCTGATATTTCTCATAGAAAGATCACGGCCTAATCTACGGATTATAGAATTTTCCCATTTTTTTGCACATTCTTATGAGCATAAAATATCGTCAAAGGTGCCTCGAGCAAATTGCAAGATTGGACCCGCCAGTACCCCTTTTGTGTAGGGCCTAGTGGAAAGCAACGTTCACCACACCAACGCCTGCGCCTGAGGGCATTGGCAAATGGTTTTTTTCTTTAGCCCCTTTTCCAGTCCACATGCAGGGGAGGACTGGTCCTCCAACTTTGCTACCGCACCGGTTCTATACGCAATAGTTGTAGGTAGTCCGTAAAAACACGGTGGACCAGTCTCCCAACAATTTTCACTCTCTTAGAACGCACTTCTGCGTCGGTTTTCCGCCGCTAAAAATTGGCCACCTTGACACGGATGTAGAAGCCTACTATATTGTAGCCTTAGGGCTGCGAATTTCTCAAGAATGGATGCTCACTGCAACCGTATCTACGGGTATCACCCCTCATCTCTTCTCCCACGATTCCCTTCCTACCCCCTTCTCCCACACCTTCTTTTTAAACCTCAAGTACACGGCCCTAGCCTTGCAGTCCGAAACTTGTCGCCACAAGAAAACGAGGCAGAAACGTCAAATGATGGGCCTGCCATTGACAAATTCGATCGACGGCCCCATTTTTGTTACACGCCTCCAAATTTGAGGTGTCAAACCTGCGGCCCAGGTGCCCATGTATTGGTGGTTTAAACCACCAGTACCCTTCCCATATGTCGGTCGCGGCCACTGGCAGAGGCCCGAAATGAAGAACGGGCCGCCGATTCAGTTTATCAATGGCGACCCTCCCCCGCTTGGCTACCTCGTTACCCGGCGCGTTTAGATTTCAAGCGGGGAAATGTACTGGTGGTGATTGCTCTTACCAACACCGCTTAATCCGTTCGTTCCATTTCCGTTGGTCGTTCACATGGCAGAGTCATTTGATTATATGTTACAAGGTCACGGGCTCGAGCTTGGCTTGGTCCTTGGGGGGGGTCCTTGTCCAGCTCGTTGTCGTTACATTTCCATACATCGATTCACATAGCACACACAGCCTTCGGGCATACATAGTTACCTTGAGAACTATGCATGGCCTACGGGCTATATACACAAGTTTCCACACATGGTGCTAACTGTACATCTAGCCTTCGGATATATACGCATAGATTGCGAACTATATAACTATCAGACTGGGGGGGTCTATCACTGGGTAGGGTCTAGTATCGTAGTAGGTGCGAGGCTGGTCACCGGAGTTCCTACTGATATTCGGATAGAACTGTCTAGTGGCTTAGGCTTAGACACTAGGCTAAGGGTAGGGTATAAGTCGCTTGGGCTAGCCCGAGTTCCGCCTGGCCTTGGGTAAGCTAGGAAAGGACGGTAAGACTGCTTCAATGAGTGCTGCCCTGTCTGAACCTAGGACCTAGAGTCTCTTGAGACCTGTAGTACATTGTCTGGGCTTGGCGTTCGAACTCCTCGTTCGAGAAGGCTCGTCCGACTCTGCTTCCGCCAGGGCTAGGTAACTAGCCCTGGTGCCTATCACTGCTGTTCGATCCAAGTTACCTGCCCATTGGTAGGGTGATGGTCCCGAGTGCTCGTCACACTGAGGTAGGATAGTGGGATAGGGGGTGCGCTAGGAGTGTTGATGTAAGGATGGAATGAGAAGGTGGTCTCATATTCCAGGACACCCACGGCCTACCACTCCAGGTGATCACTGTGCAGTCGGTGACTGGCCTCTACGACACCATGGACTCGAAAAAAAAAAAAAAAAAAAAAAAAAAAA